TTTTACGGACAAGCGTCGTCGCACGAAAAATCATTGGACAAAAAACGAATCGAAGTAGTAATTATCGGGCATGTCCACTGACACTTTGCTGGGAAACGCCTTTGATGTGGCCCGGCTGGTTATCTAAATTTCCCTTGAACGTTCGTCTGTCTTCTGGCAGACTCTAACTCAGACTCAATACAATATATATATTTATTCGATTGTTTTATGAACAGTACACGAACCACGATGAATCATTCTCACATACGACACCTCACAAATTGTCAAATTTCGACATAAAACTATTAAATCAACAATTTAAGAAGCTTCTTCTCCCCATCGTGTGTGTACCCACCTGCCGCGCGTGTGTGCCGACAGTCAAACGATAACACGTTTGATATATTTATTTAAAATGAAATGAAAGTAAAGATCTTAACAAGTTATTAGTATCATCGTCGAATTGAACGTGACTGTAAAGTTGTTGATCAGCTCAGAACTCATGCAGAGAGGTAATTATACTTCTGCCTTGGCCCATATGACTTCGCGCCAGTTTTACGGACGAGCGTCGTCGCACGAGAAAATATTGGACAAGAAACGAGTCGAAGTAGTAATTATTGGACATGCCAACTGCCACAGAAACTGACACTTTGCCGGGAAACGCCTTCGACGTGGCTCGAGGTGGTTATCCAAACTTCCCTTGAACGTTCAATTCGTACGTCTTCTATCAGAGGCTCTAATTTCAGAGAGGGTCTACTCAACGCATGGATAGTTGTAGTATGAAGTGATACTATTAAAATGACTCGCGTTATCCCACCTTCTCGGCTTAGTACACTACACTCGATGAATCTATTGTACATAATTTAACATGGCGTATTTTTATAACAACTGAAATGTGATTTTCTCGGCTATCCGAGGTTATCTGTCGTCACGTATCTCCCGATTCCAATTGACATTACCCGGCTTATTATAATCGAAGAAACGAAACGAAACGGAATAATACACATAATGACAATTAAACTGTAATCAGAGAAAATGGGTTATATACACACAATATTTACAAAATATTGGCGGTATTGATGATATTCCAGTAGAATGTTTCAAATACCTTGGTTCTAATTGTACTCAGCTTGTTTGCAATATGTTAACAAAATATTTAATCTTTGCCAATTCCAATAGTCTATGGGCAGAAGGTTCGATCGCTCCAATTTTTAAAAAGGGGTGCCACGAAACAGTTGGAAATTATACAGGCATCACATTACTTCCTATTATTGGCATTTTTTTTTATTTCTAAAAACGCGATGTTTTATAAACTTTTCAAACTTAATATGAATAGCAAAGTGTTAGAAGTTATAAAATAAATGTACAGCAATGTAAACTCGTGTATTCAGACACGTTCCGGAATTCCAGACTTCTATAATTGTACTTATGGTGTACAGCAATGCTCCACATTATCCCCTCTTTATTTAAAGCGCGGTGGTCGTCGCGCAGCGCGTGTTCGAATTTCATTTAAATAAACAATGTATTTTACACGCGTTGTATACGTCGCTATGAGTCCCATGTCGAACAGGACGCGGCGCGACGACTACCGCGCTTTAATCGTTTCATTTATGATATAGGCGATATACAGGAAAGTGGATTATACAATGGGGTATATGTAGGAAGGTTGAAATTACTTTATCTGCTTTATGCCGGACGATTTATCAATTCCTTGCAATTCTAGGATCAGGTTACAAAGACAAGTCTAAAATTAAAGTGGTTAGAAACAGGGATAGGCGTAAATCAGATGAGCATTTATATATTAATGGGGTAAGAGTAGGATTCGTCTCATATATTAATTATTTGGGTATAGCATTTTCATCATCGGGTTTATGGACATACGCTCCGCATGCTCTGGCAATCCAAGTCGTGCGAGTAAAGCGGTGTATAGTGTAAAAAATATACTAAGCCAAATATGTTAAATATGTTGAAATTAATATTGCCCTGAAGATCTTTGACGTCAAAATCGTACCAATATTGAGTTATGGTTGTGAAATTTGGGGATCCCATGCTAGAGAAAATATTGAAAAAGTCCATACCTCTTATATAGTTTATACTAGTCTTAATGTAGGTTATAATACCTATAACGCCGCTGTACATGGCGAACTTCGTAGATTTCCGCTGAGAACCCTTAGGATGTCTCGTATTGTATGAAATTGGTTAAACATCCTGGATCATGACAAGTGAAATGGCCGAAAAGTGTTACACGTGCCGGGCATATAATATAAAGGGACTGTTGTTTAGTTTCGGTTTCGGTATGGCCTATAAACAAAGATCGTCTGATATTGCTGCACAACAATGGTCAATAAGTCTGCAATCCTTTTCCAATCTTTACATCTATTGTCTCTATAAACATAATTTGGTTTTAGAGAAATATCTGTTTTTATTGACAAAAATAAATCTTAGGAGTCCCCCATGCAGATTTCGCATTAATTTTCTAGTCACAGATTGCGCATCGAGATTGGTAAGAAAAATCTGCGCTTTATGTGCTTTACAGAAAGTGAGAGACGAATTTCATTTTTGTTGCGAATGTCACTTATACAAACATTTGATAGAAAATGTTCCCTTTTCTTATTATTACAAATATCCATCAAAAATAACCTATTTGTACTTCTGTCTTCATTAAAGTATATATTCTACGGTTTCAAATTGAGAGATATTGACTAAAATGATGGCATGACCGTTTCTTTGTTTTTGTAAACTTTTTGTTGTATATAAGTCCAACAGCCTACAATACTATAATAAAATAAATATAAATATGGTTTACAGAATATTTGCCGAAAATAACAATATTTTAATCAGTAAATGGTTCGTGTCGCTTACAGATAATCGGAAAATGTTCGGCAAATGTTTTATGTCGTTATATGCACGAATGAAAGGTGAATATACTGGACGGGTTTTACCCGAAAGTTTGGAATAATTTTGGCAAATAATTTAGTATTTTGTAAATATTGTGCGTATAAAACCAATTTTCTCTGATTACAGTTTAATTGTCTTTATGTGTATCATCCCGTTTCGTTTCGTTTCATCTCGTTTCGTTTCTTCGATAACAACGAGCAATGATACCCTACCATAATTTCATCCTTGTTGACGTTCCTTTATGCGTTTTGTCTTGGTGAGCCCTCGGCGACAATACAAGTAGGTAAGCACATGGCCGGACATGGGATTATGAACACAGCGCATATTCATTTGATATAGGGTTTACCACGATTACGAAATCTTACCAGTAGAACGCGCGGATTTAAAGGGAGTCGCGCCCGCAAAGAAAAAAAATGACAAATCAATTGACAAACCCAGCCCACTTGCAGTCACGTCAATAGTTTAGGAGCCCCCCCCCCTCCTCACCGAATTTCTTGATCCACCAGTGATTAGAAATAACGGAATCACAGAACGTGACACAGCGCGTGAAACAGATCAAATAAAGACAATGCGCGCAGACGGTAAAGGCAATTTTCAATCCCAGCTGCATTAATTGACATGATAAATTAAAAACATACGAAAACGTTCAGCTTGAATAAAGTACAAAAAATACAAGATTCGGAAAAAAAAAAAAACATCCGTTGCACTAAAAACAAAACAAAAATTGAATTTACACCACCAATAATAAATTCCAAACACTTTTCGTACGGTCTCGAAAAAGTTCAAATGCCAGCTTACCTTTAGCATCACCGCCACCACTCTCTTGGCAGTTGTTTTCGTCACTTCCGTCCTGACACGTCACATGCCCGTCACATATCTGGGTTTCCGCCAGGCACCAGCTGAAATCAGCGCACATGTAGGGAAAATCTGGATACACCTTGGCACACACATCGCTCTTTTCGATCTCACCGCTTGGTGTCCGTTTCAAGATATCTACATTATAACAGAAATAAGAACTTTAACTCTAAGGCTTAATTGTTTAAAAAAGCAAAACAAATCGATATTAAAAACAAAAAATATGACAAATAATCGGTCATTTATTTATTTCTTGAATCAAATAATCCGTGACAGTAGTGGGACATCGTTAGACTCCCATGAATTATGGGTAATTGAGAAATAACAAATGTATCTAGTACAGCTCCTTCACTATCTTGATTTAATATTATTTTTTATTAGGTTTTCGTGTAATTTAATGATCGGTTTTCATACTTCTGTCTGTATGTTTTACAACTAATAATAAAACAAATCACTTTTCGAATGGATGATTGATCCATTTCACTAAGAAGAAATCGCCGTACATATTTCATATCAGTGAGTAAAGCGTAAAGAGACTAAAATTGGCAGCGGATTCAGGTTAGCTTTTATATTCAGATTCAAGTTCGAGTCACTTACAGTAGCGGCACTTTGCAAGATGCCACATTTTTTTAGTAAGAGTTATGTGTTTCTGTTTCGCTGTTAGTGAATGTAGGGCGACTAGCCGCGAACGATGATGTACGATAAAATGGGTGCTTGATGACTTGCTCAGACAATTCGCCAACTATGCATTATGAAACTATGATATCGATATTCTGTTAGACATGTCTTGTAACTGTAATGTTGTTTTCACCAATTAATGGAAGCAATCGCGGTACAAATCCAAAAAAAAATCCGATTTTCCAGTCTGACTGAAAGAAGAAATAAATTGTCAACTATTCACATGCACTCGGACCATTAAATACAAATATTACATTTGCCTTTACTGCCAGTAAAATAGTATGTAATGGAAAATTCGCTTCTGCCAGACATAATTTGTATATATTATTACAACGCCCGTGGAGTGTTTACCTAAATGTGTACTTCAAGTTGTTAAACTTTGAATAACTGGGGATGACGTCACGTAATCAGCACACTGTAAACATATAACGGTAAAGCTAACGCAGAACCGCGATTGATCTTTAAAAGTACTCGAGATAAAGCACAAATCGTGAGGCGATGAGAGAGATTAACTTGATATAGAAAAAAAAACTCTCCACGTTTCCTCGATACTACTTGTTTGATTTCCTATTAATATCGAGGCAGGGGGTCGACTTTTACCTACATAGGTAACCTACATAATCATCCTCGTTCAATGACTTTTTTAAAGTGCTTCCTTCAACATCACAAAAAGCGCAAGAATAAGAGTTCTGGTTATTACGAGCGAAAGTAAACTTAAACAGCAATGCCTATACGAAATAGATTGAATATGAAATTCGAGATACATGACAATAATTATGGACGATGATACATATTTATTGACCTTAAAGGTGGGCGATATTCCTTAAAACTTTGATTGGTTACAGTGGAAGGAGTGCTGCATAGCAACTGTGAGCAGTTAGGTTCCGCTCAGCAATATATCGTTAACTCCGTGGGAGTGAAAATATTTTCATAAATGTTGTGTTGCGGTCCGACTCTTATTACATGCTGGTCAGTAAGTACACATAGTAATTATTATGTGTATTTCTTACCTTGCTTCAGAATTTTTAAATCATCAATATTCGCTTTAGCGGGGACCTCCTTGCCTTTTGAGATAACCTGAAAATATAACATGGAATGGGTTTTTTTATAACGTTATGAGATATTGACAAAATATGCCACTCATTACTGACACGGGAAATCATTGATTGGTTGTCATGGGCGACTTTCAGTTGATTATACTTGGAACCAGGAATGCTGACAGTTTTCCTCATTTTTGTCTACAATCGTTTAGTGCAATTATTTTGCGTGATTCTCTGATTATTTGATGCTTCTTTAAACAAAACATTGCTGCCGAGTTATTTTCTGACTCAGATGTGTTGTAATGTAATGTAACTGTAATGTTGCACAAATATCATCTGCGAGTTCATACCCAAGGTGTCTTAAACCAAACACATCTGCATTGTTCAGCTTTTCAAACGTGTCTGCAAAATAATAGGTGCAAGAAGCTGTGATTCATCAATCCACGGGATAAATTCTGTCCGGAATGGCGTAATTAAAATATGCCAATCAATGCTAGTACTGAAAATGATCAGTTCTTGTTGTTTTTTAAACACAATTTTAATTAATTTCCGTTAATATCTTGCCCAGTTTTAACCCAAATCATAAACTTACAGAATTGAACTAGGCTCATGATCAACGACATTTGTTGTCAGAACTGCACCCATGTCACGGAATTTCTCGTGGAAAGTTACCCATTTGGGGGAAATGTTCCTGTGTATCTTCTGAAGTAAAGAAACGTACTTCCAACCACCCGAGCGGATATTCATAAGTTTACTTTTTCCAAACTAAACCCCCACACGCCACCTCACTCTAAAATACTCAAGGCTCGATGAAAAAAAAAAACGATGCTGTTGAATGTGTGCTACTCACCCCTGCCTCGACATCAGAGAACCCACATCCAACGGCGATAATCAGAGCAGTGACGACAATGTACGTGGCAGCCATTGTGGTTCTCTAACTAACCCAGTCTTGGAAATGTGACTGCTGTTTCGAGTCAAACCGAACATTTATAAAACTGGATTCAACCATAACAGTACAGGTAGGTTAACGGCGAAGCCGAGGAGCAGATGTGTCCTGTTTCTAAGCCTCATATTTATCAGTGAAATAGTAGCTGAATTTACTTGTAGACAAAGACCAATGACATGATTTGATTTTTTTCCCAACCTTGGTTTCACTATACCGGTTTTTGTATGTTGTAAATGCAGGCGCTAACTTATGCATGTAGAACATTTTGCCACAGAAACCATGTTCCATGTTTTGCACTATGTGACAGGGCTGACCATCTTTTCTATTACAATGACATGGTTCTGTGAATTATATATATATATATCCTGGCATCACCTATGCGCGATAACAAGTTTTTGTTGTTGAAAAAAATGGTCACAACGCGCAATGGCTACCCATTGGTTTCTTATATACAGCCCCGCCGAACTATATAATAGTCCAATAGTAATACGAGACAGTGTTATTTTGTATGTTACCGAACCGCATTTTGAGAAAATCGTCGAAATACATATGATAACGCACTTTTCAAAAAAAAAAATGTATCTTTGTGTCTTTTTAAAATCCAGATTTTTAAAATAATTCGAGATGCATCAGACACGGTGTATCAATTTTTCACCCTTTGTCATCAGTCTGTAATTTGAAATATGACATAATTTATACGAACCATAGAAACAATGGTAAAAGCGTTATAATATAGACGATATGGGCAACACTCACTAAAATACATCTATAACGGACTGGTACCCTCCCAACTTCAAGTTTTTAAGTCAATATCCTACATTGACCTGGTGCACAATTTATAGAAAAATAAATGAATTCTGGATATTTTCATTTATGAAAAGACTCCACGCCAGTTATGATTTGAACACGTGACTTGGGAATGACCACTCACGGATTCTGCGCAACAAACACTCCGCTACCGAATAACAAACTAATAATGACGTTTACATATGAAGATTAATGTACTCACTGCATTTCATAATGACTTAATCCATCAATGATTATCAATATCTTGTTGCGTATTTTATTGCACTTTCAATACAATACGTTTAGTCCAGCAAAATATTTAATTCACTATGGAAACAGTGCCAGTTTTTAAAGCAAAGATTGGCTAAATAGTACTACATTGCCTTAAAATAAAGGGCGGTGGTCGTCGCGCCGCGCCCTGTTAGATATGGGCTCATAGCGACGTATACAACGCGTGTGAAATACATTGTTTGTTTACATGAAATGACCATCGTCCTTTATAGGTTATAGCTTGAAACCCTCAGATGTATTCTGACAAAGTCAGAGTTTACGGCACAGTGAGCGAGGGAGTGGCTATAATCTGTGTAACACATAGCGTCACCGGCTTATCCCTAAAATAAGTGCTAACATACCAAGTCATTCCTTAGGGGGAAGTAGCACAAACAAGATAAAATAGCATTCATTATTTTCTTGGTAAGACACACTGACCTGACTGCCACAGATTGTTAATGGATATATGGTTATATTGTGACCCGTCGCAAACCTGCGTGTCCGTTCATTATAACGGTTATATCGACATCAGTTTTTCCAAACGGCAATTAATAATTTAATTTCAATGAATATATAACCCGTTACATGAAACGGGATGTGACATTGTAATCTTTCATACACACCACACCAGAGCAAAGTTGAATTCTACTGAATTAAAATCTGTCTACAGGGAAATTACGTTCCGATTAAAACAGCTAGTCTTATAGAAACAGTGTAGACTAAGGAATCCCAAATGCATTTGAACATTTCGATAATTAAACCATTGGGGCGTGGAGCTTCTTTATTTAACATTCATTTCACGATTTTTTTAATTTGCATGCTTACGTAATTAAGCTTTCTTGACACAAATCACTGTTCTTTGCTGGGACAAATTGGCAATGATCCCGATCCGGTTGGATTATTTGATAATCCATTAGAGTGGTCACGGATCGGGAATTCCCCAGATTGGTTGTTAGATTTGAAGGACTCCTTGGCGAGTTACGTCACGTACTCGAAGAATCAGTGCGCACGCTCAGCATATTGTAAAACAATCACATTTTGGCTTGACCGTTATTTTGATTTTCTAACTTGGAAGTAACTACTAAAAGGTACACGTGTTCTTACTTATATTTGATATTGGTTTTTTAGCTCCATTGTCTATACCAGGTAAGACTTGACAACGCCCTCAGGATCATAGTCACTTTCCAGGCGCTACATGCCAAGGCTTAAACTTTTCAACAGCAGTTCTCTCTTTTCATACAGATTCACAAAATAGTTCCGTTTATAGCCAGCAATTTCCTTCAGAAGATTGGAACAAAAATAGCCAAATTTTTTGAGTAACAACTGAAAAATTGACTCAAAAGTTGTCTGTTGTTCCACAATTAGGGTTCATTCCAAAAATATTCAAGATTATAAGAAAAAAAGTATAAACAAAAAAATCGGGCAAGAAATTTTGTTGGTGAAAATCTATTTCATGGGTTAATAGTAAAAACTATTTGTAAAAGGGACATAGTTGATTCGACGATGGCCCACGGTCGACTGACTTCAAAACGTTCCTTTCAGATCACACGTCCACCTCTCGTGCCAGTCCTCCGATGCATTCTAAGCTGTTTTGGAAAGCAGCTCAAACGGAGCTGGTGAAAACATCCAAAGCCGTGAAAACAGCATAAACTATCAAGTAATTCCAAACAACCAAATTTATATACTAGTATGTTGCACATACAGGATTAATCTTGTTACACTGTCCAAGGGCGTCTCAACAACCATCCCAAAGTACCTTTTTCTGAGAGTTTCTGCCAGGTGGTGAAAATGTCCGCCCGAGAATATTTCGGAAATAACCATATAACGGATAAAACACACAGCGCACTCTGTGCATGATTGCGGGCCTGTATTAACGTATCTAAAATTATTACATATGTAATATATAGGAAAAGAATCACCCACAGTGCCATTTATATGACACAATAAATAAAAATAAATTTAAAGACTTCCTAAACTGAGCAAAACGTTTGGTCAGACTGGAAAAGAATATAGGTCCACCACTTTGAAACGAAATTGGAACACAGTGTTGTTGAGAGATTTAAAGCTGCATTACCGTTAAACTAATACTCTTAAATCAATAAATCGATTCATACTGTTAGAATATAGATTTTGTTATTCACCATCATTAATAGTTTTGTATTACTTTATTTTCACAGGGGAATCTACCAGTAGTTGACGGGGAAATGTTGCTCTTTTTGATTTCCCCCACTCTGTATTTAGTGTGTCAAACGCATGTAAAGGTGTATTATTTATTGTATTATTTCGAGTGGAAATAAATTACTTACTTACTTACTAAATTATTACTTATTGGGGTTTACGGTAAACTAAAAAAACTGTGTTTTTATCTTCCAATACGCACTCTCCCTTGCAGAGTCTTCGTGGCCTAGGGAGCAACAGAGAGCCGAAACTAGTGGGACGTTCCCTGGTGACTACCTAGTTTAGTGATAGAAGACCCATAGTTTCTACGACGGAGAATGGTCAATAAGGTGCCGTATATGTGACCAATATCGCTATACGAACGACAAGTACGTGTGCTATATGGAAGCCGTGCGTCCCCAAAGTGAACGTAACTAATCGAATGGTTAAATTATTACGATATGTTATTAATTTTTCAAGACTATAGATTACGCTTTTTCGACTATTAAATAAATATTCCTTAAGATTAAATACAAACAGAACTGTTCATGTATATATATGATATATTTATTGACTGAACCATATATGATCACCCAAAAGCAAAAATATTTTCACCTCATGTTGTCTTTGTTTCTGGCTCCAAGTATTTGAGTGTATGTCAAGAAATATCGGATATTTCCCACTTTCTTCCAAATCGATTACATTTGCCGCTTTCAATTCGTTCGGGAAACTTGTTTTTTTTTTTTTTTTGAATCCCCAGTTTTTAGCCCTGTACGTCTCATATGGGCAATTTGGTCACGCAAAAACAAAAACAAGAAAATATCGGATATTTCTCACTCTCTTAAGCATCCTTGAAATTAATGACGCCCGAACAGTAATTAGACTGTAGAAAATGTTTGAATTCATCTAAATTGTGTGACTGTAACTATGACGACAGCCATACTCTGAATATTGTTAGATACTACGACTGTGTAGCCGTGACGAGACATACTAGTAACTGGTTCAAAGAAACCACACATAATGAAAAGGCGCCCTCTTCGGCATGTGTATATATTCTTTCATTATCTAGTTATCTTCTAGTAGACATTTAGACGTGAACAGAAACTAAACAGAAAAATCAGATCATTAGAGGTGGGAATTAAATAGGACATAACGATTCTAGAATTAGTTCCCAAATCTTTGCAAACAGGTAATCTCTTTCTCTGAGAAAATTCTGATATCATCATGTTTATAGTTCAGGCGACAAAATGAAGAATTACAGTTCTGTATGATAAAGAAACAAAATACAGTAAAATGAGAAAAAATATAAGTAAATGATAAAATATTTTTGGTAAAAAAAACACCACATCTTATACTCACAGAGTTGTGATTAAACTATTTTGAGAATAAAATAATGTTACTTAATTGTAATTATTTTTACAGATTCAATATGAAATACTTTGATCATTGAGTGATTCACTCAAAAGTGTGCTAAAATTAAACTGTATTTTGAAAATAAAATGAATACTTCGTTTTATTAAAATAAAAATATTAAAATGCGGGTAAAAATATCACGTGATTAAATTTATTTAGGATAACAAATTTCACTTCGGTTTAAAAGGCAAGATACAGAAATTACTTGCAATTACTCGCAATAGAAAAAGAAAAACAATTGCGCTGAGCAAGAACATAACAACACTAACAATTTTGAAAAAGGCTTACAATTTGTGACTTATTCCAACCTAACAAAACTGACAGCAAACTGTATTTCAAGTGAGATAGTAAAC